GGGGACAGTATCCCTCTATTCCCGTCCTATTCATGTATTTGTCAAGACGCCCTTTAAAAGTCACTATCGTATCTGCTTCCACCATCTTCCCCGGCAGCAAGTTCCAGGCACCCACCACCCTCCGTGTAAAAAACTTGCCTCGTACATCACGTTTAAACCTTGCCCCTCGTACCTTAAACCTATGCCCCCCTAGTAACTGACTCTTCCACCCTGGGAAAAAGCTTCTCACTGTCCACTCTGTCCATGCCCTTCATAATCTTGTAGACCTCTATCAGGTTGCCCTTCAACCTCCGTTGTTCCAGTGAGAACAACCCAAGTTTCTCCAACATCTCCTCATAGATAAATAATTAAAAACAAAACCATATATGCAATCTCAACATAAACAGCTAAAAAAAATTCCACCCTTTTCCCAGTTCTTTACAGAAATTCAACACAAGTGAAGCACCAATGTCAACATAATTTTAATAATTCTTACTCAATTGATTCCACTTCTCCACAGACTTCCTTTCAGTACTAGAGATAGTAGGAACTGCAGATGCTGGAGAATCCGAGACAACAAGGTGCAGGGCTGGATGAACACAGCAGGCCAAGCAGCATCATAGGAGCAGAAAGGCTGACGTTTCGGGCCTAGACCCTTCATCAGAAAAGGGGGAGGGGAAGAGGGTTCTGAAATAAATAGGGAGAGAGTGGGAGGCGGAAAGAAGATGGATAGAGGAGAGGATAGGTGGAGAGGAAACAGACAGGTCGAAGAGGCGGGGATGGGGCCAGTAAAGGTGAGTGTAGGTGGGGAGTTAGGGAGGGGATAGGTCAGTCCAGGGAGGACAGACAGGTCAAGGGGGCGGGATGAGGTTAGTCGGTAGGAGATGGGGGTGCGGCTTGAGGTGAGAGGAGGGGATAGGTGGGAGGAAGAACAGGTTAGGGAGGCGGGGACGAGCTGGACTGGTTTTGGGATGCGGTAGGGGGAGGGGAGATTTTGAAGCTTGTGAAATCCACATTGATACCATTGGGCTGCAGGGTTCCCAAGCGGAATATGAGTTGCTGTTCCTGCAACCTTCGGGTGGCATCGTTGTGGCACTGCAGGAGGCCCAGGATGGACATGTCTTCTGAGGAATGGGAGGGGGAGTTGAAATGGTTCGCGACTGGGAGGTGCAGTTGTTTATTGCGAACCGAACGTAGGTGTTCTGCAAAGCGGTCCCCGAGCCTCCGCTTGGTTTCCCCGATGTAGAGGAAGCCACACCGGGTACAGCGGATGCAGTATACCACATTGGCAGATGTGCAGGTGAACATCTGCTTGATGTGGAAAGTCTTCTTGGGGCCTGGGATGGGGGTGAGGGAGGAGGTATGGGGGCAGGTGTAGCACTTCCTGCGGTTGCAGGGAAAAGTGCCGGGTGTGGTGGAGCTGGAGGGGAGTGTGGAGCGGACAAGGGAGTCACGGAGAGAGTGGTCCCTCCGGAAAGCAGATAAGGGTGGGGAGGGAAAGATGTCTTTGGTGGTTGGGTTGGATTGCAGATGGCGGAAGTGTCGGAGGATGATGCGTTGGATCCGGAGGTTGGTGGGGTGGTACGTGAGGACGAGGGGGATTCTTTTTTGGTTCTTATTGCGTGGACGGGGTGTGAGGGATGAGTTGCGGGAGATGTGGGAGACACGGTTGAGGGCGTTCTCGACCACTGAGGGGGGGGAAGTTACGGTCCTTGAAAAACGAGGACAACTGACGGGGACCGCTTTGCAGAACACCTACGCTCGGTTCGCAATAAACAACTGCACCTCCCAGTCGCGAACCATTTCAACTCCCCCTCCCATTCCTCAGACGACATGTCCATCCTGGGCCTCCTGCAGTGCCACAACGATGCCACCCGAAGGTTGCAGGAACAGCAACTCATATTCCGCTTGGGAACCCTGCAGCCCAATGGTATCAATGTGGATTTCACAAGCTTCAAAATCTCCCCTCCCCCTACCGCATCCCAAAACCAGTCCAGCTCGTCCCCGCCTCCCTAACCTGTTCTTCCTCCCACCTATCCCCTCCTCCCACCTCAAGCCGCACCCCATCTCCTACCGACTAACCTCATCCCGCCCCCTTGACCTGTCCGTCCTCCCTGGACTGACCTATCCCCTCCCTAACTCCCCACCTACACTCACCTTTACTGGCCCCATCCCCGCCTCTTCGACCTGTCTGTTTCCTCTCCACCTATCCTCTCCTCTATCCATCTTCTATCCGCCTCCCACTCTCTCCCTATTTATTTCAGAACCCCCTTCCCCTCCCCCTTTTCTGATGAAGGGTCTAGGCCCGAAACGTCAGCCTTTCTGCTCCTATGATGCTGCTTGGCCTGCTGTGTTCATCCAGCCCTGCACCTTGTTATCTCTCTTCCTTTCAGTACTGTCAGGCTGAAGATTTTACCAACTCTAAAAAACCTGGAGACTTTTACAAATGAAATTAACACAAACTGGTGATTCCAACAAACTGAAAAACAGCCCTTCTACTAGGATTACACTTCTTCTGAATTCAGCCTTCTTGGCCACCCATTTTTTGCTGTATGTCATAAAAGTTATATTTTGTAAACACTCCATCAATTCTTCTCCCAAGCAATTTTATTGAATTGTTTAACTTAAGTCACTTGCATTCTTGCAAATTATGAAGTCACACAGCACAAAAGCAGACCCTTTGATCCAATCAGTCCATGCTGACCATAATCCCAAACTAAACTAGTCCCACCTGCCCGTACTTGTTCCTCCAAACCTTTCTTATTCAAATGTCTTTTAAACATGTAACTGTACCCAAATCCATCAGTTCCTATGGAAGTTCATTCCTACTAAAAAAGTAGCCCCTCATATATCTTCCAAATCTTTCTCTTCTCACCTTAAAAATATGCTCCCTGGTCTTGAAAACCCCCAGCCGGGGAAAATTCAACTTATCTATACCCGTCATGATTTTAAAAACCTCCATAAGGTCATCCGTCAACCTCCCTTGCTCCAGTGAAAAAAGTCCCAGACTTTCTAGCCTCTCCCTATAACTCAAAACTTCTATTCCCTGCAACATCCTGGTAAATCTTTTTTGAACGCTGTCCAGCTTGATAATATCCTTCCTATAACAGGGAGACTAGAACTTCACACAGTACTGCAGAAGGGGCCTTATTAACGTCCTGTACAACCTCAAGATGAATTCTCAACTCCTATACTCAAGAAAAACCTGAAAGAACTGTGAATTCTGTAAATCAGAAACAAAAACAGAAGTTGCTGGAAAAGCTCAGCGTGTCTGCAGCATAGGTATAGAGAAATCAGAGTTAACTTTTCATGTCCAGTCACCCTTCCTCAGAACTCAAAAGTCTGAGCAATGAAGGCAAGTGTGCTAAATACCTTCTTAACCACCCTGTCTACATGTGATGCAAACTTCAAAGAATTATGCACTTGAACCCCTGGGTCTCTCTACTCTACAATACTACCCAATGTCCTAGTTTTAATTGTATAAGTCCTGCCCTTGTTTGTTTTACCAAAATGCAATACCTTGCATTTCTCTAAATTAAGCTCCAACTGCTACTCCTCAGCCCATTGATCCAATCTATCAAGATCTCTTTGTAATCTTCGACAGCCATCAACTATACCACCAATTTATGTTTGAACTAATTGTTCAAAACTAATTTTCTGACATTTGTTAAAAAAAGTCTTCTTCACAGACGTGAAAACTAAAATCTCTGCACTCCAGCTCTACTTTAAAATCCAGATTCCCAAATAATAACAATATCCTGCAAATCTAAACATAGCCAGCTCAACACCATTTTTTCAAGAACAATTAGGGTTGAGGACAAAATTGCCCACTTTGCTGGAGGGTCACAGGACCCAATACATTGATTCTGCTTTCTCCCCACAAATGCTGTCAGACCTGTTTCTCCAGCAATGTCTTTTTGTTTCAGATTTCAAGCATCCACAGTTCTTTCTTTGATTCTGGGTGGAAAAAAAAACATTGGCTTAGCCTGCAACACCAACATCTTATGAATTAATATAAAATGGATGGTAATATCAGCGGACAAGGAATAAATGTTTTCTAAAATACATATTTCCAACTTTGTGGCAAATTTCTGTCCTCATATGTTATGCATTGCTTATATTGTTAGAATGAATTAGGATTATCACAGGACATTCAAAAAGTTTAATTTGACATTATTATGATATGGTTTATTTTACTATTCAATCAGTATGTAAACGTTCTGCTGGTTTATTTGTTTTGCTCATGTTGCAAGGGTTCAGAGGGGTTGGATTTTGTGAGGATACATAAGGAGTTACCTGTATGCAGATTTTTACGTTAGTGCCCCGCCTCTCCAATTTCAGCCAGTCAAACAACCGTCCAAGATCTCTAAATTCCTCCAGTTCAGACCATTTATCCACCTCCCTACCATTCCGTCTGCATCTTCAATAACCTTGACCCCAAATGCTGAAATTCCTTCCCTAAGCCTCGAATTCTCTGCTCCTTTAGGATAATCTTTAAAACCTAACTCCTTTGAAGAATGTTTTGCTCTTTTGTCCTGTACAATGCCTTTTGTGGCTCTCCGTCAAAATTTGTTTAGTAGCTCATTTGTGAAGTGTCTTGGGTGGCTATTGTTAGATATGCAATGTAAATGTAAATTGTGTTGCAAAATGAAGATTAACAGAAGAATTTAAGGCATAAGGGAAAAGTCGGGTGTGCATGATGGGTAAATAACCACAATGTTTATCGCCTATTTCAAGATGTTGACCGACATGCCCGGTACTTGCAGCATTTTATCTTTTTACACGGATTTTTCTGAATATTCAACTCTGACCCTTCAACTCATGTACTTTTCTGAAGAAGGGTCTAGGCCCGAAACGTCAGCTTCTCTGCTCCTATGATGCTGCTTGGCCTGCTGTGTTCATCCAGCCCTACACCTTGTTGTCTCTACACACCTTGTTACCTGCACTTGACATGTTTTGAAGTTGAAGGGTGAGGGAGTGCTTTGCTCGCTCTGGCGCTCCGTTCCATCCCCTTTACAAAGATGGCGGCAGAGCGCCGGGCCAATCGGGGGAGAGAAGCAGCACGGGGACGCACATTACCAAGATGGCGGGGGCGCGCTGAGCTAATGGGGGAGAGGGGCGGGACCGGAGACTCCACTGCTTCCAAAATGGCGGCGAAGCAGAAAGCGAGTCGGAGAGCGGCTCCTCGTCCGGGCCGTGGGACTGAGGGGGAGGCCGAGCAAGTGCTGCCGCTTCAGGCAGTGCTGGTGGCAGACAGCTTTAATCGGAAGTTCTTCCCCATCACCAAGGACCTGCCACGGGTGAGTCAGGAGCCGCCGAGAGCTGAAGGACGCTGCAGCACGGGGTATGGGGCTGGCAATCAGGGGCTGAGGAGGAGAAATATCCCCGCCAGCCATTAACATGTGGTCGGAGAGGTTCTCACTCACCCCTTTTGATGCCGCCACCGTCCCCCACCTCCAGTCGGCAGCAGACTAGCGTTTAATTCCGTTTTGTTTTCTTTAATGATTCAAATTCCACCATCTGCCATGGTGGGATTTAAACCCCAGTCCCCAGAACATTGGCACGGGGTTCTGGATTGCTAATCCAAGAGACATCACCGCTATACCACTGCCTCTCCATCACCTTTGCAATTGCTTTCACCTTCCAACCCTCTTGCCTGTCGCCCCTTTTCCTTCCCCTAGCTCAATGCCCATTCATTCGCAGCCGCCAATTTCCCATCTCCTTGGCCTGATTACCACCCCTGTCTTTGCAAAGTAGCCTGATTTTGATCTAACACAAAATCTCCATGGGTTAGGTGGCATTGTGATTAATTGGATAGGGGTGTAGAACAGAACGGCAGTTGGCCTGGTAGGAATAGGATCAACCAAAGATTTCCTCTCCAGTGATTTCTGATGAAAATCCAAATGTGTGGACATAGCTTGAAGAAAGATTGGTATATGATGGCCCATGTGGCTGAAAAGCCTGTCTAGGTTTTCAATTTAGGGTTGCATATGAAATTTGCTGCCTTAGATGAGATATTGAAAGATGATGCCAGACTCTTTCCCTTACTTTTGAAAAAGGGTAGTGTGTTTGGCAAAGATGAACAGGAAACAACAGATTATCAAGTCAGGAAAGTTTGCATGTATAGCCCGACACACAACAACAGCTTACGTTTCTAATGGGTTTTCCTGTTACTTTGACAGATGAGTGCCAAAAAAGAGATCAGTTTACAGTCTAAGTTAATATCGTCTTGTGTTACATTAGACCAAGTCCCATTTTGCATAGCAATTTACAAAAACTGTAAATATAGTTGGTGTTGGAGGGTTGATGGAACCACTGCCTTTGTGTTATGCTTCCTTGTCCTGAAGATACTTGACTCTCTTCTCAAATTTTGAAATTGTTGTTGATAAGGAGATATTTAGTAATATTCGAGATGAATTATCCCAGTGAGAAAGAAAGACGACTTTGACAAGGATGTGTTACCTGTGGCTAAAAAAGAAAATTAAGGATAACACTATCACATTGAAAGAAACATTGTCCAAATCAGCAAAACTTAGGAGTAAGTCAAAGAATTGTACAGACCTTCTAAGAAACAGCAAAGCATTTTTAAGGTAATAAAAAGGCAGAAGGCAGAGAATGCAAGAAAGCTAGCTAGTGATGTAGAAACTCTTATTACTGTTTTTATTAGTATTTGAATAGGAAATTAACAAGGAAAGATAGCACTTGCCTTTGAAAGAGTCTGAGGAATCATTAATGGAAAATAAAATAAAAACCAAAAGAACTGTGGATGCTGTAAATCAGAATCAGAAACAAAAACGGACATTGTTGGAAAAACTCAGTACCTTTGAAGAGAAATTAGAGTCAATACTTCGGGTCCGGTAACCCTTGATTAGAACCACCTTCTGAGGAAGGGTCACCGGACCTGAAACGTTAACTCTGATTTCTGTTTGCAGATGCTGCCAGACCTGCTGAGCTTTTCCAGCAACTTCTATTTCTGTAATGGAAAACAAAGATGGCAAGGACTTTGAAGAGGTGTTTTGTCCCTGTCGTCTTGGTAGAAGATTTGAAAAGCTTCCTCAAATATAATCGAAAGTCAATAAGTTATAGACAGGAACGAACTCAATGCAGTCACCCTGATTAGGGAAAAAGTGTGAGGAAAATTATTGGACCTAAAGGCTGACAAGTACCCAGGACAAGATGGCCTGTGTCCTCCAATCTTAAAAGAATTGACAGTACAGATAGTGGATACAGTGGTTATAATCTTCTAAAATTCATCACCTCATGGAAGTGTTCCAGTGTATTAGGGGGAAAAAAAAGGAAATTCAAGAAAGGATGCAGACCGAACCAAAAGCAGGAAACTATATGCCAATTAAATGAATACCCATGTCATGGGGATGTGTTTGAATCCATTATTAATGAAGTTATAGCAGAATACTTGGAAACTATGTGATCAAGCAATACCAACATGACTTTGAGAAAAGGAAATCATGTTTAATTAATTTATTAGAGTTTTTGACAATTTACGGTGGATGGATGGGAGCCTGCAGATGTGGTATACTTGGATTTCCAGAAGGCATTTCATTAGGGCTTCATGTCTTCTTAGTTTTTGATTTCTAAAATGTGGACTGAAATAAAAAGTACTGTTTTGACCCCAGTGTTTGAGAGGGTGGCTGCAGTTTTGAAAAACAAGTATTCTAACGTGCATGCCAAGCATCATAAATAACTGTTTGAACAAGCAATGATTGAAGTTTGATTTTCAGACAATTTGGAGCCGAGGGTGTATGCAGAAGCAGCTTTGCTGGCTGCACGAAGTTGATTGGTCTATAGACTAGTGACCGATTATCAATGGCAGAGATCTTTTTCCCTGCTAACAACCCTAACTGGTTCTCTGGTAACTGAACAGCTTGGAGCAAGTTGGAGAGAGATTATAGAGATTTTCCCCAGCTTGGAAGCAGTCTCTCTGTTCCCCGCAATCAAAGCACACCATAAAATCTGAAGAAAATCAGTTTATCTTTCCTGCAACAATTGTTGTAAGCCGAGACTTTTAACTGATGAGTCAGAGACTTTAAGTGAACCAGCCACCTTGTGTTTGTCATCAACTAGTGGAAGCATATAGAGAAAGACGACTGAAGCAACCTACTGGTCAGCAGAGAAGTCGTAACGAGAACCTGGGAACAAAGACTAGAGTCAGAGCCATACAGCACGGAAACAGACCCTCAGTCCATGCTGACCATAATCCCAAACTAAACTATTCCCTCCTGCCTGAGCTTGGCCCATATCACCCCAAACATTTCTTATTCATGAACTTATCTAAATGTCTTTTAAACGTTGTAACTGTATCCACATCCAGTACTTCCTCTGGAAGTTCATTCCACACACAAACCACACTGTGTTTAAAAAAAAAATTGCCCCATGTGTCTTTTTTTATATCCTTCTCTCGCCTTAAAAATATGCCCCCTAGTCTTGAAATTCCCCCACCGTAAGGAAAATTCACCTTATCTACAGCCCTCATGATTTTAAAAACCTCTATAAGGTCAACCCTCAACCTCCTACACTCCAGTGAAAAAAGTTCCAGACTATCCAGCCTCTCCATATGACTCAAACCTTCCACTCCTGGCAACATCCAGGTAAATTTCTTCTGAAGTCTCTCCAGCTTAATAATGTCCTTCCTATAACAGTGGACCAGAACTGGACACAGTATTCCAGAAGAGGCCTCAGTAAGGCCTTGTACAACCGCAACATAACGTCCCAACTCCTATACTCAAAAGTCTGAGCAATGAAGGCAAGCGTGCTAAACACTTTCTTAACCACCTTATCGATATGTGATGCAAACTTTGAATAATTACATACCTGAATCCCTAGGTCTGTCTGTTCTACAACACTACCCAAGGCCCTACTTTTAATTGTATAAGTATTGCCCTTGTTTGTTTTACCAAAATGCAATACCTCGCATTTATCCAAATTAAACTCCATCTGCCGCTCTTAAACCCATTGACCCAATTGATCAAGATCTCTGTGTAATTTTACATGACCTTCTTCACTGTCCACTATACCAACAATCTTGGCATCATCCACAAGCTACTGAACTGTCTTTTCAGATTTTCCCCTCTATCCATAACCTATTTTACCTTCTCCGTTGTATCTGTGTATGTGTATGTGTATGGTGAGTTTATAAAAGGGATTAGAGTTTTAAATGAGAGTGTTGTATTTACATGAAGTTCGTGTCTAATAGTGATTCTTGTTCAGTACAAAAACTTAGCTTATGCTTTCTGTCAACCGGGATCTGAAAATCATGCAAATTGAGGAGCTTTGTATAGTTTATAAAATCTTTAACTTTTGTGACTACTCCGGGAGTAGTGAGGCTCAATTTCTGGCACGCCAGTGAGTCATAATAATTTAAGGTGCCACATCAAAGTTTACTGCACAAGCTAAGGCCACGTGGTCCAGGGGAACCTGGAAATATTTCACTGCAAGTTTCAGAGCATTGGTGAGACCGTATCTAGAAAACTATGTACAGTTTTGGTCTCCCTGTTTAAAACAAATATGTTATTCCTATATAGAAGTTCAGAAAATTTTCACTCACGTCAACCTTTCCTGCTTGTAAATTGAACAAGAATGAGAGGCATAGGTTTAAAGTGATCGCAAAAGAATAGATATAATGTGCAAGGGTATGGGAAAAAGTAGGAGATTGGCACTCAGTAATGATGCTCATAGGGCCAAATGAACTCCTTTTGCACCATAAACTTCTGTGATCTCATTCCTGGGATGAAGTGTTTGTCCTGTGAAGATATGCTGAACAGGTTAGATCTATATGCATTGGTATTTAGAAGAATGAGTGATGATCTCTTTGAATCATAAAAGATCTTGAAGGAATTGGATAAGCCGGATAGCAGGGGGACATTTTCTATAGTTGGGGAGACTAAAATAGTTTGAGAAGAAGCGACATCTCTTTTAAGACAGATAAGAATTTGTTTTCTCTCTCAGGTTTGTTAGACTGTGGAATCATGGAATGCAGTGGTTCAAGGAGACAGCTCACCATCACCTTCTCAAGGGCAATTAGTGATGCCCAAGTCCTATGAGTAAATTTTAAAAAAGTTGCCCGAGGGTGTTCTCACCAACCCCTCAGGAAATGGGTTGTTTTATGTGTGACCTGTTCACATGAAGGGCAGATCTTGTGTTCAGCTGATTGATTTGAGGTTTGCCAGTAGGTGGGGTTAGCTGCAATGTTCACTAATATAAAATGAAACTGTCTTCTGTTCTGCTGCAGGCCTTGATCCCTCTTGCTAATGTGGCGATGATTGACTACAGCCTGGAGTTTCTTACAGCAACAGGTGTCCAGGAAACCTACATCTTCTGCTGTTGGATGGCACAGAAAATCAAAGAACACATTCAGTAATGAGAACTTAAAGTTTACAAATGGAACTTGTGCAGTAGATCATGGCACACAGAAAATTGAAGTCTGTTGTAATCATTAGATACCAGAATCTCTCAGCACCTGACTTTGAAAGAACTATCCAATTGGTTCTATTCTCTGCTGTTTCTCCACGACACTGCAAAGTTTACCTTTTTATCCCCTTTGGAAGTTTAATTGAATCTACTTCCAACCTTTTAAAGTAGCATATTCCAAGTTATAACTTGCTGCATGAAACATTCTCCTCCTCTCCCTCTCATCTAACACACTGACTCCAATATCACCAATGATAACAGAATAAAATAAAACAAAGAACTGCAGATGCTGGAAATCTGAAACAAAAACAAAATGTTGGAAAAACTTAGCAGGTCTGGCAGCATCTGTAGAGAGGAAAAGAATTAATGCTTCGAGTCTCGTGACTCTTCTGTGATCACATTAATTCGTCACCTCAAATTGCTCCTGTACCTAGTAGCAAACCTGAACCTATCCTATTACACAAAGTTTGGCCAGACGCTTGCAGTGTGGAAATTCTCCAATGTCTTGAAGGTGCATTCAGGAAGATCCCAGAAATGGTGATAGAATACATCAGCTGATAATGGTTTTTTCTGGAGGTTGATTTGAGAAATAAGTATTGACAGCTGTCTACTCTTGCCTCGTAGGAGCTTTCCTATCTGCCTAAGAGGGAAGATGGCACCTCTGACAGTGCAGCATTTCTCTTATTGCAATGGAGTGTCAGCCTGAATAATACACTCTGATCTCTCCAGTGGAATTTGAATCCACAAACTTGAGAGCAGAATCAAAGTTGACAATTAACCATTTGGTAAACAAGATGCACTCTCCTTTTTAACTTCAATGCCCTGCACTCGAAACACGTGCCTGCTCCAAGATTTCTCACTAATGTCCTTTTTTGCGGTTTCTCTTTAGTAATTTGTTGACTGTGAAATATTTTGCTATTCCTTAAGGACAACATAGCCTTTGTCTAGTAGTTTTTCTTTGAAAGCAATTTTGTGCAAGTAACAAAATAGAGATCTTATTTTATGAAAGTCTCCAGATGCAAGTAATGCTGTTGTGCTGCCTGGACACTCATGCTGTGAGAAGACTGAGAGGAATATGTGAAGGTACCAAAAACTCAGGTCAACATTCCAGAGACAGCAACTCTTTTGTAGAGCAATAGTCAGTGTCTGCCAGCACGTATTTTTGGTCAAAACTAGCTGTAGTCCTCAGCAACGTTCTCTATAATTTTCCTGCAGAGGCTGAAGGCAATTTCTTCGAGTGCTCAGCCACTTGAATTTTTTTCTGTATGGCCTTGTATGGTATTTTTACAGGGCAGTATTCTGTTACAAATGTGGAATGTTGGAATTTAGAATGGAATGTAGAAGTAAGTATGGTTTGCTTAACTTTAAAAACACAACTGAGTTACATCTACAAGACCCAATCCACATCTACTACTGCATGTGCTTGGTCTGTGCATATGGTTTGGGTTGCTGCATAGTTGCACAGTTTACAGGAGCATTGGTCCTCATGTGACATGAGATTTGATGCAGGGAGGTATTTGCGTTGGGTCTTGCAGATGTAACTCAGTCTCCATTTTTAAGTTGCATAAAACCAACCTTATTTATATATAACCTTATTCTGAATTTCGCATTAATTTTGCTGTACTGCATTGCCACTCTGCTGCCAGCAGACACAAAACCATTGGACTAGAGGTGACTAAAGTGTGACAGATCTTTTTAGAAAGATAGAATTGTGGATATGGTAACTAGTTGTGGGGAAGAGTTGATGAGTAATTGTTGGCAGATGAAAAATGTTATCTAAACTAAATCGGTGGAGGTAATATTAAAATGTTGGAAGAAAGATGAATTCTTCACCTTTTTAATGGTCTGTTGTGTATTCTTCCCCAGGAAATCAAAGTGGAGTCATTCTACATCACCAAACACCATCCACGTCATGAGCTCTGAGTCCTACCGATCATTAGGAGATGTCTTGAGGGATGTGGATGCAAAGTCAGTACTTCGCTCGGACTTCATATTAATTTATGGAGATATTGTGTCCAATGTTAATGTGTCTAAGGCGTTGGAGGAACATAAGTGAGTGAAGTTTTTGGCATAGGGCTTGTTTCTTGGAATAATTAAGATCTGGTTGACCAGTTATACTAGTCATTGACTGCCATTGGATCAATCTACTTCAGATACCTTTTTTTGTTTGAAATTACTTTTGCACTGGTTTCTTCACGTTGCTCTTGGTACAAAATCCCTTCAATCTATTCACTTTGTGAACACCATAATTAGGAGCAGATGGAGGCCACTCAACCCCTCAAACCTGCCCCACTGTTCAATAAGATCATGGCTGCATTGATTACTCCACATTCCTGCCAACCCCTGATGCTTTCATCCCTTTGCTTCTCAAGAACCTATCTACCTTTGCTTTAAAAATATTTAAAGAGTCTACTTTCACTACCTTTTCAAGAAGAGAACTCCAAAGACTCATGACCCTCTGAGAAAAGGTTTTTCTTCATTTCTGCCTTAAATTGGTGCCCACTTATTTTGAAATAGTGATCCATTGTTCTAGATTCTGTCATAGAAGAAAACAACTTTTCCACATCCACTGTATCAAGGCCCTTAAGATGTTATGTTTCAATCAAATTGCTTACCATTGTGGGTTCATTCTATCGTCCTTTCCAAAGGCCATTGTATATTTCACGGGTACCAGATGTCCACAACAACTTTGGATTTACATAATGCGATTAGTAATCAGTATAATCAGATCAAATCTGAAACTGAGACACGCAGGAGATATTAGGACATTTGACCAAAAGCAGATTTTGAGGAGAGGGAGAAGAGGTTAAGAAAGAGTTCCAGAACTAAGGGCAGCGTGAAAAAAGAAGTTGGGTGTGTGTTGTTTCAGAATGTTAACCATGAAGGTGCATGTAAGCAGCATATAGTCAAGGCTGCCTTTGCTTGACTGACCCTAGAATGAAATTACCTAACACAGAAGGACGCCATTTAGCTCACTGTTCCAAAGCCAGTTTTTTGAAAGAAATGTATTTGCATCTTTCTAGAAGCATTCACAAGGTAAGTGGGGGAACAGGAATGTGAGCTGACCTTCCTTTTTAGCTGTCCATCACTAAGTGGCCTAACTGCCTTTAAACTGAAAGTGCCAGAAATTATCAAGACATCTTGAGTAATGGTGATGAGTGGGGACCAAGGGTCAACCTGTGTATGAAGCCTCAGGATTTTGGAAGGATGTTGAAGGAATATTTCTGTTCAGTCTTCACTCTGGAAGAGGAAAACGTAGGTACAGAATTCAGGAAAAGGGACTGTGAAGACTTGCATGGTTTGATATAGCAAATGAGGAGTTATTGGAGGCTCTGTCAGGCTTGAAAACAGACAAATCGAATGGCCCGGATGAATTGCATCCCAGGCTGCTGTGGGAGGCAAGACAGGAAATTGCAGGTGCTCTGGCACAAATTTTTAATTACTTTCTGGCCGTAGGGGAAGTGCCAGAGGGCTGGAGGACGGCTAATGTTGTTCCACTTTTTAAATGGGGTGGTAGAGATGAACCAGGAAATTACAAACCAGTGAGCCTCATGTCAACGGTAAGGAAACTATTGGAGAAAATTCTTAAGGGGCGAATTAATACCCACTTGGAAAGGCATGAGTTCATTAGGGATGGTCAGCATGGCTTTGTCAGAGGGAGGTCATGCATAACAAATTTGTTGGATTTTTTTAATGAAAATGTGATCAAGTGTGTGAATAAGGGAAGTTCAGTTGATGTTGTTTATATGGATTTTAGCAAAGCTTCTGACAGGGTCCCACATGGGAGACTGAGAAGGTT